AAGATAATAATTCTTTGCGCGTAGTACCAAAAAGAGTTCGTCATGAAATTAAAAAAAAGAACGGCAAATTTGATTCAGTTAGAAAACGCTGCAAAATTTGCTATGAAAATAATGTTAAAAAGTTTGCACAATTCAAAACGCGCACGATATAACACTGCAATGGTGACTTCTACTCCAACGAAAGAACGAACTAAACGACAATTGACATGGGATACTCCATCGGTTGATACTATCGTTGACACTGATGCTACTGCCAACAAATCGTTTGAGTCGACTATTCAACGTCAAATGCAAACGTTGGAGGGTCTAGAAACGTCACTTTGGACCGTTGGCGCAACAATATATGAAAGCTATTCTGAGTGGTAAGAAAAAGAACGACATAGACTACGTATATGGTGTGTATTTCGACAACGATGGAATGATGCTTAGTGATAAACATTTTGACGTGGATGAACAAGATAATATACTCGTAGACGGTATACGATTCAAAGCAACACAAGGATTGTACGAACTGATTTTCATGAAATGTCCTAGGAGTGATTTATATACTGAAGAAGATAAACAACGATACAAAACAATATTGGAAATAACAAATGCTCATAGAAAACATCATTACCAGCTCGGCGCAATACTGGGTAACAAAGGATATAAATATAGATACATAATTGCGCCTTTAGTATCCAGTGTGCGTACTAAGCAGGGGAGGGGTATACCGCGTAATATGACGCTAAACGATCGAGAAATCGAGTACGCGCACTGGAACGATCCCAATGAACTCGTCGACCGTCTGCGATTGCTAGACGCATCCCGTCAGGCTGGCAATAATGCTCACGATAACGAAATTCTGTNNATTATCGAAGAACTGCGCGAAGCAGGTCTCATTATAAATTAAATAGCGCGCCGACGTTAGAGTCAGTCGTGTGCGCGCCATCATGCCAATCAACAAATTCGGGATATCGCTCGGAACACACGGAGCGTCGATGTATTATTATTATGAGAGAGATGCAGTACTGCGAAATTACGTGCGTAATAACGCTCTCTGCTTTGTCGGTTCCGGCTACGATGCAAGATCGCGCAAGATACTGCATGTAGCGCAACCCAATACCGACACTGACGCCGCCAACAAACGATACGTAGATATGTGTGTCACGAATGTGAATGAATGGCTGGAGACACGTGAGAGAAAAATTATCGCATAGCAACAGGACGTGCAAGCGTTGCGCGACTCTATAAAACAAATTCAGCGTACACTTCAATATCTATCAAATCATAATAAAACGATTGACTCAGTAGACATATAGTAAAACAGCTATGGCGAGGAATCATGTCACAATCAAAAAACAACGTAGAAGAATTGCATGCTCCGGCGAGAAGAAATTTTCTTCGTAGACGCGTTATCGTACGCGGATACGATGATCTCTGGCAAGCGGATGTGGTAGACATGCGTCCGTATTCGCGCGTCAACAGAGGCTACCACTCCATACTTACGGTTATCGATGTGCTGAGCAAGTACGCGTGGGCCATACCGCTTAAGAGTAAGAGTGGACGCGAAGTCACCAAAGCTTTTGCAGGAATATTTCAGGATAACAAAAGATGTCCACACAATTTGCAAACTGATCGTGGAAAGGAATTCTATAACACAGATGTACAGACATTGATAAAAAAGCATAGCATCAATCATTATTCCACATATTCGGTTATGAAGG